TCAGGAAGGCGGATCTTGGTGTGGGGGTGGAAGAGGCCCCTGGCTGGTAGCTTCTCTGGAAGACTACAATCTCTTACTAGAAAGAACACTAGACTGTCAGGCCCTTCAGGTTCCAGCTGGTTCTAGCTTTGGCAACAACTCACTTCCTGTGTGCCTTCAGGCAAAGCTCCCCACCTCTGTGAGTCTCACTTCACATCAGAGGAAAAATGAGTTGGACTATTTAATTAATTAATTAGTTTTACTTTTCTAATAAATATGTATCATAGAGTTGGGGTCACAAAACATTTTGCTGCCTAAATGAGACATTTTCAAATGTCAGAGAGAAAGCTATTCATCCCTTCAGCAGGATAATACAGAACCACTGATTCTGGAGAAACTCAGACATTCATTTGCTTGCCTGGCCTCCACTCATCCTTCAGCTCAGAGGGAACACTCTGGATCCCTTTTTCACATTCCAGAGCTGGCCAGTGCCTGGCTCACCCAGATGCTACTTCCTGTTGGTGAGCATTCCTGCATTCTTTACTTAATCATAGTCACTGATCTGTTCTTCCCATGCGAAAAGAAGCTGAAGTGTCCTGTGCCAATCCATTGCCCCCACCCTACAACTGCTTTTGCACTCTGTATTGTTTTCAGGTAGCTTCCTTCCCTACTGGCACAATTTTTCAAAGAAAGTAAATATTTATGTATGAATCCCATTCTTTTTTAGGTGAAAGAACTGGTACCCAAAGAGTAAATGTGACTGGTCTGGAGGTCTGCAATTACTCAAAGTCAGAGTGGGAACACTGGCCCCTGTTTCTTCAATAGACTGTCAATGGATCACATCAATCAAATAAGACATAAAAGAGAGAAAATCCAAAAAAACACATACTAATCCATGTATTTCACAAATCTTGGGAGGAACATGTTCTTTACAGATCCAAACTGCTCAAAAATGGACAACTCACACTGTGAAGAAAAGACAAATAGCTTAAAAAAGAGCACACGCCTGCAATCCCAGCACTCAGGAGACGGGCAGTAGGATTGTGGCAAGTTCAAGACCAGCCTAGGCTACAAAGTGAGCTCAAAGCCGCTATAAAACTGTGTAGTGAGACTTTGTCTCAAAAAGACAATAATTAATTAATTAATTAATTAAACAATAAAAAGATAAATTTTTTTGAAAAGATAAAAGTATTTGAGCAGATAACATTTATGACTGATTTAAACATTATGCACGTATCAAAAATTATACAATACCTCAATAGGTACAAAGTTTATGTTTTTATGTGTCAGCTAAAAAGATAAAAGAGCCCAGGGATATAGCTCAGCAGCACAAGTGCCTGCTTGGCATGTGCAAGACCCTGAGTTTGAATCCCAGCACACGCACACACACAAAACCATTTAAAACCAGGTATCCCAGAACTGACCAACAGATATTGATTGTACAATTTGCTAGGATTTTGAACAGCCAATCGTTTTTTTTCAAGGAAAGCACAGCTTAATTATAATGTATTTTCTTTCAACATCAATGCTATTTTCTGTCTCATAAGCATTTCCATTTATTTGTTTCTCAACTGTAATTGAGGACAGAAGGGGGAGGAAGAAAAAAACAGAGTCACTCCTTCTGTGCTCAAAGGAGCCCTCTACTCCTCTGCACCCTCTGGAATGTTCCCTTGGTATTAATTAAAGAGCTACAAATATGAATCAGACCCATGGGCTTATGGGTGATATAAATAAAGATTCTGAGAATATGTCTGACTAAGGAAATGAACAGCCTTTCAGTCCATGGCAAGATCAAAAGACGAGAGTAAGACACGCTACAGAATGTCTCAGGAAAGGAGCTAGCCTTGTCATAAAAGAACTGGACATATTCGCTTCCTTGGAACAGTTTAAGAAACAAGTGATAGAGATTTCATAAATTATGAATGAGACAGGAAAAACTCTGCTGCTATGTTAGCTAGGCCTGAAAAAAGAACAATCCTTGTAAACAGAGACAAAAGGAAAACATAAGAGAAAACCAAGAAAACTTTCACCATTACTAAATATATGAGAAGGGAGCCTCCGGTTTCTCAGAAATCGCTAGTTTGTCTGGGTAAGTACTAATGTCCAAAGCGGTTAGGTCTTCTATCCTTAAAGTCATATAAAATCCAAAGACACAGAAAGTTAAATATTGCATGATTTCTTTCATCTGAGAAACCTAATTATAAATAAATTAAGGGTAAAATAAGTCAGACTTTTTGGAGTAGGGAGAAAATGGGAAAGAGGGAGGAGAATGGAAGGGAGAGGAAGAAAGAGGATGGAAAGTGACTGAGATATGTCACACGTATGTACTAGTCCTCCCAAACGAACGTAAACTTCATGTATTGCAGACATAAGACATGTTTAAAGTACAATGGGTATTTATTATTTTAAAAAATCCAAAGCTCAGATGTATTAATTTCATTTTTAAAAGAGGTTCCCTCAAACAAAAGAAGCCTAGTTCTGTCTTTACTGGCCAAGGGCATTAAATCACTTTCAGAGTGGAAAACAATGTCTTCCTCCGAGGCCCAGCCCTGCCCATGTGGCACACTGGTCACCTCACAGCCTGGCAGGGCAGCACCCGCCTATCCCTCCTCCCCGCAGCAAACCCAGGGGCACGCTGGGGAGGCTTGCAAGGATCTCAGGACAACTCCGGAACTCTAGTAAAAGACTTCTTTGTTTTACAGACAAACACATTAGGATGATGCTCATTTTCTTATTTACTCCTTCATGGTCATCTGGACTATTCTATGCCTCTTTATCAACCTGTCCTTAGCTTCCTCCAGCCTTGGGAACTTCGGGTGCCAAGAACTTGTGCTACGTGACTGTGTGATATTTTATCTGGATGCTTGGTAATTTTCACATTTTTCTTATATCACTCTCTAATAACCCAGGGATATTGTTAAAACACTCTTAAAAGCGGAGATGTCTTCCTGGGCACGGTGGCACAGGCCTGTAAGCGCAACACTCTGAGAAGCTGATGTAGGAGGATTGAAGGCTTGAGCCCAGCCCTGGCAATTTGTGACTTAGCCATATTTCAAAATAAAACGGGGCGGAGATGTCGCTAGGTGTGAAGGTCCTGCATTCAATCCCCAGAGCAAACAACATCATCAGCAAAAAAACAAACAACAAAACCAGGGGTGTCTCTTTGGGTATTTTATCGAAGATTTTTATTTTACCTTAACTAATTGCTTGTTTGTTGATTTTACAGTATAGGGGAGTAAATCTAGGGCCTTCCCACTGAACTACATGCCTAGCCCTGTTTTTTTTTTTTTTAATTTAAACTTTATTCCAGCTATAAAGCAGGTCATTCTGACTGTAAGCACCACATGGCATACTTCTGAGTCCATTCTAGGGAGATTCTGTTGTACTGGTCTGTTTTATAGGTCCGTGCAATCTCTGGCACTTGGGGGTCATCTGGGTTTGGATCACATAGCAGTGAGCCAATGGACCAAAGAACTTTAGAGCTAGTTAAAAGCAGGAGGCCACTGTGACCTTAGTATGCCGAGACCAGTGCTGCCATTCCTGTTAATATGTGAATGATACATTCTTGTTGTAAATGAGCCTTAGGTGGTCTGAAGAGGCAGTCCGCAGGAAAAGGAACTGTCAGGAAGTATACACCACCTTGCCTTGGGCTGTCATCAGATCCAGTGACTGTGGCTGTCTGGAAAAACCTCATCCCCAACTGGGCCTGTGACACTGTGCTGGAGGGTCACAGGCCAAATCACTAAATTCTTTGTTAAGCCGTTTCAGCACCATGGTCCATGCTGTCCTGGCCCCCAGTGCCCGCACATCCTCTGTCCTGCCATGTCTGGACGGTCCTTGGCTCAGACACAGTCCTCTTCACCGCACCCATCCTCTGTCCAATGCTGCGGCGGCGGGAGCCAGCACAGTTCAGCTGCCCAGGCCCAGCCGGCTCCTGCTCAAAACAGCACCCATGCCGACCTGAGGTCCCTCCAGGTGGGCCTAGCCATGTTTTTTCTTTTTATTATTATTATTTTATTTTGAGCCAAGATCTCTGTGCATCACTAAGCTGCCAGGTGGGGCTCACATTTGTGATCCTCCAGCTTCAGCCTCCCAGAGTGCTACCATATCCAGTTTTTTCTCTAAGATTTTGCTACAGCCCAATGGTTGCTATTCTCCAGTGGCCGATCCATTTTAATGCTTCCTTCATGAGAGACTTGGCAGATGAAGGGTAGAAGACAGAACCTGAGAGGGCAAAAATCAGGGAAAGTTCTTTCCTTTCACGTCTCCACTCTCTGAACTAACACAGTGCCTTCCTGGGCTGGATACCACAAGTTCTGGTTTCCACTTCTCAAACAAATAAATGGGTCGGCAATCTCTGAATGCACGGAATCACTAGGGTGCACCTAAAAACTAAGCACCCTTCACTCACTACAGTGTGAGAATGGCCGGCAGTAATTGCTCTGGTGGGGATTGTCAGTGGGTTTACCTAACACAGTATATTTCCCATCCAAGTACTAACCAGGCCTGACCCTGCTTAGCTTCTGAGATCAGACGAGATCGGGCACGTTCAGGGTGGTATGGCCATAGATCTAACACAGTATATCTCATTCTGTAATCTCTGGGCTTTCTATCTGAGACCAGGTGACTGAGAAATAACCTCAATCCCATTAGCTAAGACAACTTATGCCCTGGAGTCAAACCACCACCTGAGTCACAGCCCACTGAGGCTGATGATTCATATTTTGTCAAAAACCATAAAATGATTTTAAACCACTCTGTTAAAACAAAAAAACCACACTAACTGATGGACAGTGCATCCATCGGGGCACCATGGTGCAAAAAATAACCACAACCATTTCTTGAGATGTCGAGGATCACAATGCAAAGAACAGCATCTGTTTGTGGCACCCAGATGCCATGCTTAGTACTCAACAACAACAAAATGCTAGCCACTATTTCTAGAGTCTGTAGACACAGGGCAGCTGGGCGATGCGGAGGGAGAGCTGGTGTTCTGAGACCCTTTCCCTCCACATACTCACTGTGTCTCCGCTCCAAGCAGCATTTCCACTTTCTCATTCGCATGGTTATTCAGGACTGTCAGAGTAAAGAGGTAACAGGCAGAGCTCTGTCTTGAATAAAGCATTGTGGAACTGTTCTTCCCTGGAGAAGAATTAAGCTCTTCACTGTCACAAGATTCCACCAAGAGCTGATCTCTTAAGGAATAATCATTGACGTTGTAACTTTCCTCACTATGAAGAAAAAGGAAAGAGTATGTCAATTATTCAGTAGATAAAACTGTAACATGATTAGCTTGCAAGTCACATGCTGGAAGAATGAGCAGGAAAAAGAGAGAGAGAATGATCCATTTTCCAGTATCAAATGGAACCTGAATTGTATCTACTGATTGTGGATCAAGGTAACTTTTCCTAATGAACACTATTAATCACTCTTACTGGTATAATGTACTACATTGAATCTCAAGTTAAACCAATATTTAAAAATATGAAGCCCTCTAATTCATTTGACCTGGTCCTGGAACTGTCATACCAAATGACACTTGCATGCCTCCTGCTAATGCTCAGTGGTATGCGCCTCCCAGCTCCACTCACTCACCCACAGACCAAGGAAGGAATTGCAAACCTACCCATACTCTGCAGAACAAGGATTCCCCCCAGCTCCAACAAGCGCCAGAAGAGGAGAGAAGAGCCCCTCTGAGGTCTGCTGTGGCCCGCCCCATCTGTCTCTCCCACACTCAGAGCCTCACTACCTGTTTCAGAAACGGCACGTGATAATTCTGCCATGCCTTCATCTGCTGCTGCCAGGGCCCCTTCACTCCCCTGGACTAGTGGAGCTAACCTGTTTTGTTTTTCTTTTAAAATAAAAGATGTTAATGTTTTTGCTAAACTAAAACCTCAGTATTCAGGTTTAACTGCAGTGCTGGCACTTTGCAATGAGTAAGTGGGTTTTGGGTTGCAGTTTGGCCACTTATCTCTAAAAGGTTCGCCATCACTGCCCTAGACTCTTGAGTGGTGTGTGTGTGTGTGCAGTGGAGGATACTGGCGATCAAACCGAAGGGCCTTCTACCACCAAGTTACAACCCCAGTTCTTTATTTTTTTAATTTTTGGTCAGGTTCCCACTGCGTTGCCCAGCCTGGCTTGAAATCTGCAATACGCCTGCCTCAGCCTCCTGAGTAGCTGGCCTAATACACATGGGCCGTGCTGATGCCTCCCCTAGACACTTATCCCTTTCTCTGCCTAATCTGGCCACACTTTTTAAACTGGTACCTGAATACCTCTCAGCATGTCCTGTGGGAGTGCCCTTCCTTTAGGGAACCCAGTAATCTTCTAAATCATCAGCCTTTTCTTTGAATCCTCCAGGTTCCTTCTAATCAGTAAGTGTCTTCTAAACAGAACCTTGGCTCTCTCTAGGACACTGGACCCCTGAAGGCTTTCTCCCTTCTTCCATATGATGATACTTCCTCCTCCAAAAAGTTCTTGGACCTGAAGTCTGAGTGATGTGTTTCTATCTCAGAATCACAGATGTCTCCCATCCCTGAAACATTCCTCATCCTCCCTCACCTCTTTTGGTACACTTCTAAGCAGAGGATCCTTCCATTACTCGACCTCTCAAGTTTCCTGACTTCACCCTCCCGCAATGGTCTTCTCCTCTGCCCTCCCCTAACCACCCACCCACTATCATACCTCAGACTCCGTCCCACCACCAACCACAACCTCTCTGTAATCTCGGGGTCAAACACACCATGCGTCCTGTCTTTCCAAACTATCGGCTCTAATACTAAGCCCTACCGAATTACTTACCCCCGTAAACCCCTCCTGTCTACTGGTTCACAGGTATTCCATTACTCAGCTTGGATTTCTTAATCACTTGCACACATGCCCGTTTCCTTTGTTCTGTTTGTTTGATAAATCCCAAACATGGTTAGGTACAACTCACCCTTAATTCTGTCTCCTTACAGTTGAACTTGGATGTGCTCAATCAGTAACTATTAAATACATGTTGAGTAAGCAATAAACTACTATATTCTAGGAACACTGAGTAATTATCTTATGTAACAAATGTAAATATCTGAATTTAGAGAAGCTAAGAGAAAAGAACATCCCTTGGCTCTAATCAAATAGACTAGAAATGTCAAAACAAGCCCTTTTGCTCAAGACTTTTCTTTCTTTTTTTTCACTCTAACCGGTGGATGTCTGCCTATTAACCACCCCATGTAACCCTCTTTGAAAAACTAATGCTTTCTAAAATTTAGTTTAATAGATTCTTTCTTCACAAAACAGCAAATAGAGCTATCTTCTATAAAAAACAAAATATTGCCTTCAGATTAAGCCTATTTGTTGCTAAGGTAATAATCTGGATTATTACCATAATCTGGTCATCACCTGACAAGATGACCCCAAAAATTCTCCCTGAGACTGCCTGAAACGTGCACATCTGTAGCCAGCAGGTATGAAAAACTTTCTGTATCAAAATGAGATGCTCCAAAGCACAGAGAAGGTTTACAAAAGGCGGAAGTAGGTAATACACTCTATAAACACACTCGCTTCTATTTTGAAAAGACTATGAACTTCTGGGAAGATGGCAGATCGGTAAACAGCAGCAAGTCAGCCTCTCCTGACCCTGGAAAATAACAACCTAGGGGAGGAAAAGAAGGAGGGAAGTGGATCCCTGGGACCCAAGAAGGATCTGAAGAGAACACTGGGGCCTACAACACAATATATTAGGAGGGGACAATCTGCACTTTCTTTCCAGATCCTGCCTCATGGCAAAAGAAAGGAAGATGGACTCTACAGAGACACAGTGAAAGGAAAGACTTCCAGGGCCTTCAGGAAGAAAAGTCCAGTGGGACCAACAGAGCAGTGAGTGCTGTACACTGCAGCAGCTGGTCAGCGACTCCAGTTCAGGTGTCTGCCGACCGTGTTCCCTGGAAAGTGTGTGCCTACTTGGATGCTGTTTTAGGGAGGGGTCCACTGAGCCAGGGTGCACTTCACCTCAGGGCTGCCCGTGTTAAACTCCCACAGTGACTGGATGAGGGACAAAAAAGGAAGATGCCCATGATCAAGGAACTGCAGTCAGGCTGGCCAGAGACAACCAGAGTATTATAAGCTAAATGACTCAGGCCCCACTCCCATGCCCAGAGGTCAGGTTCAACCTGAATTTCAGTGGATATTAATGGATAATGGATCAGTGGATTCAGTGGCTTGGTGGGACTATCCAGCACAGCCCTGGGCTCTGATCCTTTGCCTACCAGTCTTAGCAGAGACATTAGTGCCTCGCATTGGAAACCACCACAACGCTGCAGATCCACAGGCTTGAAATCACAAAGAAATTTCTTTTTCAGAAAATTTCTTTTTCTTTCTCTCTTTTTTTCTGCTTTTATTTGTTGTTGTTTGCTTGGTTTTTTTAAAAATTGTTTTCGGCTTCTTTTTGTGAGTGTGAACACTGGTTTTAGTTTTTTTGGTTTGTTTTGTTCTGTGGTTTTTTTAAATCCTTTCCTTCTCTTCTGTCTTCTTCACCAGTTTCCTGAGGCTTGGGTAAGCATCCTCTGTTCTTTAGCCACACTTCTTTTCTTTCTTTCATGTCTTTATTTTTCCCCTTTTAAATTTTCTCCCCTTACGGTAAAATTGCTCTGCTGAGTGGATACTAACTAAACGTAACTTTTTGATTTGTCTTAGATTTTGTTATATAACTATAAAATCTTGTACCTACGGTAATTATTAGTTATCGTAGTTTATGAATTTCTAATCAGTGTTTGATATTACAGTTATTACTGATTGTATTACTTTAGCCAACATGACATAGTTGTGATCAATTGATCTTCCTTATATACCAAAATATAGATTGCCTTGGGGTCATAAACAATACCACAACACAGCCCAGTGCTGAAGGTGTTACCAAATGGCCTGCAACCTTTCATCCATAATAAACAAAAGAGGCAGGATCCTAGGACAGACTAAAAGGCCAAAAGCCAGCTACACCCAGAAGACACCTCTGAAAAGTAGTCACTTCCATAAGAGGTCTTGAAACTAGCTATAAAGCTATGTGCCATAAGCAAAATTTACAAGGCTTAATGTAGAAAATGAATAAACAAAAATACACAGAAGTAAGACACAATCCCACAACCCCAACTTTACCCAGGGAAACTTAAGAGAGCACTGAGGTGAAAGAAACTAAAAGCCACCCAGCTGAACTTTCTGATATGGTAATAGTGTAAGCAACAAAACAGATGAATATGTCTCTTGACAAAACCAAAGCAGAAATAATTACACAGATGATTAGAGAGATGATAACCATAATGAAAGGAATGGTTAGCGAATCTAGAATAGACACAGAAAAAAAAAATAGAGGAGCTTAGGTAAGACAGAAAAACCATGAATGTACAACATGAGAAAGAACTAGATGTTATGAAACAGATTCAAACAGATATCCAGGAGATTAACAATATATGCAGCAGAATCTTCACCAGTGTGAAGATAGACTATCAGACCTAGAAGATAGAGTTGTAGTTGGTGATCATCAAATCAAAGTTTTCTTAAAAGTAGCAAAGTTCCACAAAAAATTCAATCCATTGGCTGCGAGATGATGCAAAGAAGAATATAAGATTAATTAGAATCAATCAAATATCAGAAGTAGTATAAAGGACATAAACTGATTCACAGAAGTAATAGAGAAAACTTTCTAAGCATAGAAAAAGAACTTGGTATACAGATAAATGAGGCATACAGAACTTCAAGCAGCCACGATCAGAGAAAAACTTCACCAACATGAGGATTAATACAACAAAACAGAAGATACAGAAACAACTCAACTATGTTATCTTTGCCAAAGGGGACAAAGAAAAATAGCCTCTTTAACAAATGATGCTGGAAAAACTGGCTTTCAGCATGCATAACACTGAGCTCTCATAACTCTCACTATGCGCTAAACTAAAACTGAAATCGATCAAAGCTATAAATATTAAAACAAAAACAGTTAATCTGCTGGACAGTAAAACAGGTAAAACTCTAAAAGACACAGGTGTAGGCAAAGACTTGATGAACAAAACCCTGATTGTATCAGAAATATTACAAAGAATCAACAACTGGGATCACATCAAATTAAAAAGCTTTTGCACAGCAAAAGCAAAACAAAACAAAACACCAAAAGAGTGAAGATACAATTCACAGAATGGAAAAACAATGCTTATCAGCTACTCTTAAACAAAGGACTAAAATCTAGAATACATAGAGA